CTCGTCCCGGCAAAGCTTCATACAAAACTGGTGCGTTCTAACTGAAGGCCATGATCAATCATGTATGTATACACAGGTACATATATATATATATATATGTGAAAAACAGGTTGCTGTGGGGCCGGGTTTTTGCAAACCCACTTTTTTGACATCCAAGAAATTTTACCAACCCTAAACGCTTCCAATGTGCACACGACATTACAACACAAAGTCACATTCACGTATATTCCTGAGCAATGTATTCAAGGTCAGGTTCAAGCTGCGCATAGTCAGACACCAGCGATTGACCAGTCACTTCTTCACGGTTCTTCAGATAACAACTATCACCGGCAGGAATCACGGTAAATGCCGTGTATTCCAGGTTTCATCGAACCAAGTCCTGGGGTCAGCCACATGAGCTCGACATGTCCCTGATGGACCCGTATATCCTGATCTTGCAAGCCTTTCATCCTCTCAAGTAGAACTAAACACATCATCTGCTTTTGCGTGCAACGTTTGATTCCTTGAATGAAGTCATGTACTGATTCCGGCCAATTACTTGGAATAGTGCTGATTTTTCGACATATGTATTCGTATCATTTTTCAATTTGGCATGTCGGCAAGTATGGCTGACTTCAATGTACTAACACGTATCTTTGTTAAGGAGTCAAGGAGCAAAGTCGCCCGTGGTAGCCAACTTCATACTTGTTTTAGCTGGCTCGAACCCTAGGTGTTCATGCCCTGCTAACTGCTAGAGTTAGTACCAATGAGGCATGAACCACTCCACCTTGTGACCGTGCGTTTCAGCCGAAACCATAGAGGAGCACTTACACATCTCTTCATCCACCTGGGCTCTGGAAGAACAGCAAAACTTGAAGACAGCGGCAAGGTTAGGGCCAGCAGCTTTGCTAAGCTGTGCCCAAAGGGCCCTCCGGGGCCGCGTTCGGGAGCCATGACATGACAATGAACCTATCCTGAAAGCACGGTGTCCAAGACGCAATGCTTATGAACAAACCTGGTGGTTTTGAACACACCCTGCGTTTATGCACAAACCACGTGGTTTGCAAAAAATCAGAGCTGATGTTGGAGCCGGAAACAAAAGCATTCACGCACACTCACCAAAAGAACGACCAACAACAAACGGAACCGCTGAAAATGGTGGTTGCAACATGCAGACCCCACAGCCACCTCTTCTGTACGTACGTGTATATATGTATATATGTGGATCTATGGGTATATGTGTAAGTATTTATATAATATATATATATATATATATAATATATATATATATATATATATATACATACATATGTATATATTTGTTTAAGTTCTTCATTTTATTAAATTGTAGATATCCACACACACAGTACAAACATATGATGTGAGAGTATTCTTGCCAGAGGACTTTGTGTGAACAGCACGGACACTCCATGGTGCAGTGACGCCGTTGTGCTGACAAGCACCGCGAAATTCCGCAAGACCTGTATCTGCATGCAGAGGCCCGTACAAGACTATCAAACCACACAGCACATATAAGCCCTACAACCGTTCAACCCTGAATGGTTCAGCATGCGAGCACCAGCACAGCAACGACGTCCTGCTTCTTGGGCCTTTTCCGCATGAATGCCTGCTCCGGACCCGGGTGACGGCTCTTTCACTCTGCAAAGCTGAGGCCGAGAGCCCAAAGAAGACGACATCAGATATAGATTATAGACACTCTTTCTTGCCACGAGCGCCATCCTTGTTACCGAGGTGTTTAAAGGGTATTGGCGGCATCAAGAGACGAATTCGGGGCGTGAAAGCCCTGCCCGAGGCTGCGAGGTGTAGGCCTTATGGCCTTCATAAACAAGCCAAAAAAAACCCTACATCCCAAAAGAACGTCAAAAGCCCGTTTTTCAGGGCAATCCACCCCCCCCCCCCTCCTTTGTGCCTCCAGGCCCCCGAGGCTGGCCAAGCCGCCATCCTCGGCCTTCTCACCCTCGGAGTCGCTGCCCTTGAAATCCTCTCAGAACTTAGGGATTAGGGCTCAAGGCTGTTGCAGGCTTCGCGATACAGGGATAAAGGCCTGCTTGGTGGATGGTTGAGGGCTTGCTCAAGCTGGATGTCGTTTTGACTGGATTGTGCCAGGCTTCAAGTGCTTCTGCGTGCCCGAATGCTCCAGGACAGCAGCCGGGGTTGTATGATGTCTAACGCGAAGACAGAGCCACGACGCAGCTCATTCCTTCAGAAGATTTACATAGCTCTCGCATGCCACATTTAATGCTCTGTCCGATCCATTGTCGAGTTACGTATACACCCTTACTGATCCAAGCAGGACATCATAAAGAGCTACCGGATTGAGTCAGGCAGGCTTCTGAAAACTCTTTCATTGGTGAAAATCCCATTGGGAGCGTGCTGCAGGGTTTCAGGACTTCACCAAAAGCTGTGACCTCACTTCAGACATGTTGCACAGAAACAGCTTGCCATGACTAAACGACCCCAACTTCAAAACTTTGACTTCGAACGCTGGACGACCTCCCCCTAAACCCTACAGCCCTACAGCCCAGGCCGCGATGTTGCTTCGACCGAAAGCCCAGGTCCCGGAGTTTCCAAACCGCGCAACGCCACATGTTCCAACAGTATGAAATAATTTTACAAGTCAACTAGAACCCCAAACCTTGACAAGGGGCCTGATTCCACTGAACAGCAAGCAAAACCCGCAAGATGAAAACCACCCTAAAAGCCCAAACCCACGAACACCCTGCTGCGAACCTCATCGGTGTCGGAGCCCTCCGCGTTCAGCCCTTGAGCAGCATTTGGGTTGGCGCAAGGAAACATTGTAACAAGTAACATCGCTAACAGTATCATTGCTGTTTTGCTAACCATGGGTAACAGTACAACTAAGCTTCGTGCTAACCCATCTATCATGAATGTGAGTATTCATACTAACGTTAGCATCACTGTAAACGCTTATGCAAGTACTGACTGCCGGTCCTGATGATCTGTGTTCTTGCTGCTACATTTGCTGCTGAGATGCTGCCGCTGCTATCAGATATTATCATTCCTTTACGAAGCGGAAGCACAAAATCATGTGTCCTCAGTTCTTGGAGCAACTGCAATAATAAGAAACGTGAGTGTGCATGCTTGAGGCTCTGAGGAAGGGGTCTTAGAACTTCCGGTGCGCAGCATAAGGATGTTGCTGACGGTTTTTGAAGAACCGAAAAAAGCCGAAAGCATCAAACTTCAGGCGTACAGTCCCACAGTTCCGTACTCCTGACACTCAGGAACGAAAACTACAGTCATGATTCCTTACTGCGCAGCTGTACCTCCACCGCCATCTTCAGGTGTAGAAGTAGCGTATTAAAATCACTTGGCGACCTCTAAACTGTACACCACAAGCAGAGACCCCCGGCTTTACGAAGGGCCCTCAGCTTATTAGCTCCCGCAGCCCGAAAAAGGATACTAAACAGGTTAACATGGGGTAATGAGTAGTGGGTGGTAGTTGATTAAATAGCGACGGGCTTTTCACGAACCCGGGATCTCGCAGTCAGGATTTGCCGTATTAGCTGGCGACAGATGGTGAACGCTGATGTCATACACACCCAGACACACCCAGACACACACACACACACACACACACAGTGCCTTGGTCTGTCTGCGGATGGAACTTCTCCTGACCTTCCAAGTACTACGTACTAGGTCTGCGCGGCAGGGCTCAAGGATTCGGTTTTGGGGAGTCAAGGGCTCTGGGGCTCTAGGGCAGGATTGTGCAGGCAGGGCGGCAGGGCATGTCGTTTCTAGCTTTGCCTTGGCCCGAGGCCGTGGCTTCAAGGGTTTGGTGTTTTGATGTCAAGGATTGCCTTGACTTGTTTGAAAGGGTACCGGCTTAGCAGAGTTAAGATCTAAAGTAAGGTCCGCAACCAGCTCCGAAACCGTCATCCAAGAACTTGAGCCTGGAAGAGCAAATCTTGGACCTCTGGCCTTCGTCCTCGTCCCCATCGGAGTCATCCGGGTCATCCCACCTGTGTGCGTCTTTGATCAAGGATCTTCGTTTGGTTTCGGGTGCCTGCTCTGGGGTTTACTGCGGAGGTCTTGTGCTGAAAGTCGTTCTGTTTTCATGGTTTTCAAGGAGTGTGCGGAAGTGGAGGAGGAAAAGATCCGGGCATACTTCCAGAAAGCGCTGCACACACAGTCAGAAATTGAAAGCCTAAAGCATACCAGTGAAATCTGAAAGACGGCACGATGAGGAGATGAACACGCCAGTAAGTACATGCAAACAGCCATGCGTGAGCAGAGAGCATGGGTGCATGAACACAGGCACAGGTCTGCACACGCGTAGAAGTGATGGCTAAGCACTGCAAACCGGCCTAAATCACCCTGACCCCCCCCCCCTCAAAAAAAAAAACACCGTTGGAAGCGTTGCCCTGCCTGCGCTGCTCTCGGCCGGGAAGCCGTGGAGGCCGCCGGGCGACCATCGCTTTTACCGAAAATGCGGCTTCGAATGAGGAGCTGCCGTTGGGATTTTTAGGTCGGTTCGGGCGTAGAGATGTGTAGCGGGGAATCTCGGGTTTCGGGTTGGGGTGTTCGGGTTCGAGGTTCGGGTTCTAAGGTCACTGAAGCTCGGCTGGGAAGGTTGCTAGTGTGCTTGATCTGGCTACGAGGGTGCGCAGAAGCGTGGGTGGCTTCTGCTTTCTTGTGGCGTAGTGCGAAGAAGCCTCTGTCTGAACCGGGAATCTGGCGATGACGAAGATTCTGAGCAAGATCTCAACGAGGTGCTGTTTTGTGTGGACTCAAAGGTGCACAGATATAAGCCTTGAAACGAGCCACTACCGACCTGCATGAAATCTCAAGACCGTGGAATCTGGGCCATTCAGGTACCAGGCTCAGGGGTCTGCACTTTCAGGGCTTTTGTGGGACTTCTTGCCGTGTCCAGCTTGGACGGGGTGCGGATGTCTTCTGTCTTTCGTCAAACGTCAAACTTGAACCCCAAATCCTGAAGCGTAAATGGGATTTCCGACCGCTAGAATCTGCTTGAGGTCTGCCTCTCGCCCAAGTGGTACAGCTCCAGCACAGCCTCGGATGCCGAGGTTTGTGCTTCGACGAAACGGTTCACAAGTCCCCAGAGAGTGAAGGTTTAGCTACGGCTTCCTGCAGAGCGGGGACAAGTGCCATTCCCCAAACGACAGCCACGCCATAGCCCTATCCTGCACTCCAAAAGCAGTCACAGCAGATACGAGAGAAAGGGGGCAGGGCTAAGGCCTAAGACGACACAGGCTTATCCATGAAGCTCTGACCTCAGTACGAGCTAAAATCCCGCGTTCAACGTCATTCATCCTACATGAGAACAACTTGTTGATTATCCGGAAGCCACCGTGAAGACGTGTCCAGAATTCTTCGCGCCCCAAGCGTCTTTCGAAACCTGACGAATACCCCAGACGGGTCTTCATGCTCGCATGCCCCAAACCCCAAACCGAATCCAACAAAAACCTGACTTTGCCCGAATTCTGCTAGGATTCACCAGTTACCGGTTGTTCCCCTTCGGGTGCTGACGGCGAAGTTGGAGAGTGACATAGTAGCCGCCTCGGCAGGCACAGATCAGGATATGGACACCACGGTAGGCACAGTTCTGGACAAGCTTCTGACAGGATCTACTGCCATTCGGTGCATATTGTGTTAGCTCAAGGAAAGCCTTCTTCTCATTAGCCGAAGAAGAAACCTGGTTCAGGCTTCAAGCTCTTGTAGATTTCGTAGCAGCACGCGCCACCACCATCACGGCCAGCATCCGCAGCGCCGTACATTCACGCTGAGGCAGGCTCAAATTTCAAGCCAAAAGCTTGACCCCCTAGTCAACACATCGCAAAATCATTCCTTTCCAACCCCTGAAGCGCGGGCCTACGAAGTACATCTTCAGGTTTTGGGCTTGGGATCTAGGTTGGCCTTATCTCTAGGGCATTTAATGATTGTTGGTGTTGAGCTTACACTGCGGGTTTGACCAGGTAGGCCCCGAGTCACCTCGAGTCCCTGCAAAGAGCCAACGGATGTGCACGCTAGAGCCGTTGGCTCACCCGATTCAAAATCTTAACCACTTTGGTTTGCTTTTGCTTGGTGAAGGCAGAGCTCTGCTTTCTGTGGGACTCTCGCAGTCGGCCTTAACTCTTCCGAGCTTTTCCCCGAGCACCGAACCCTAAACTAGCTTGGCCCTTCATAGCCTTTTGGCAAAGAGTTGCAAATAAGACCACTTAGGCCCAGTAAGGGGGAATCTGAAATTGTCCCGAAGGTCTTCGCACGAGAACTCTTTAAGTGCGGCACATCTATGTCGAGTGTGTACACATACTGGAGGAAGTCCAGGAGCACTTCAAGCCGCACCTCGGAGGCCAGCAAGGATCAGCCGCTTTTTGCCGGAGGCTTGCTCTCTCTGGATGAAGTTGGAGGTACACTGCCGTTGTGAGGAAGGGGTTAAGGCTTCAGGCTTCAGGGCGGGGAGAGAGTGGGGTTTAGGCCTCGGACCCCAGTGTTGCAGAAATCATGAGACCCTGAGACCCTCAATCCTAAACCGGATGACCACTCTGAAACCTGCTCAGAAGCTGAGAATTCAGGAATTCAGCCTTGGCTCGAAGCGGCTTGAAGATTTCGGGCATGCGGGCTTACTGCTCTGGGCCACAACGGGCTGGGGTTCAGTGCGAACGTGCTGATTCTCCTGAGAAATTCAGCATAACCACTCCATGAACCTCGCAAAAGTTGCTGAGGAGTGAGCGAAAGACTGTCTCTCTTTGCCTCTCTCGCTCTCGCTCTCACCATGTGTCTGTGTGTTCTTGTCTTTTATCTGCTTGATTGCTGCAAGCAGGTTCCTGCGAAATGCAACATGTCTGCTGGGCGCGAGAGGCAATTGCCAACCTGAGTCCTGTTGGTGAGGCCCAAAGTTTAGGGCAGGATCCAAACGCTTCGAAGGTTTTGGGGTTAGGAACATGGGGTCTACGTGTGGGACTCTGAGTTTCGCAAGTGACGGCATGGTGCGCAAACCTGAATGTTGCAACAAGGAGAACGGGATCCCTAAACCCTAAACTCCCAAGACCTCTCAACCCACAACGCTCAACTTTTACATTGAAAAACTTACACTGGCCCTGCACCAGAAACCCAGATGTGCCACTGAGCCTGCAACATTTATGAGTGGCACCTCGGGCTGTGCCGAGTTTGATGGGAGACATGATACCGCAAGAACTCACGACATGGTTCACCTGAAAATTATCTTAGGAAAAATGCTTCTGCGACGCCATCGCTGACGGAAGAGAGTCGAGGAAAAGGGCGTACATGGCAGAGGAAAAACTGTTCAAGCAAGGATGGAAGCAGAAGAGCAAGGGTAGAGGGCAGGAGAAACCATGAACCTAACTTTGATTCTTTCGCCTGGGCTGTTCTCACCCGAACAGTCAGCAGCTCATGGTGCTCAAACTCAGGGAATCGGAACTAAATCGTTACGTGATGTGCGACATTGGGCTCAAGCTCTACAGGCTTGGCACAAAGCTTACTCCTGAAACCTTCTCTTCTCGGACGTCAGGATTAGGACCAAACCCACAGGCCAACACATGAAATGCAGGCCTCGTTGCTTATACCCCGTATCATGCAAGTCGTTTTGACGGAAACGCCCCACCGACCTGTGTCGAAAGCCATGAACTCATCACATGCCTAAAACACCCGCATTGTCATTGTTCACCAGAGACCAGAGCACATGCATCATCCCGAATCTCCGACCCCTGCTGCCTTGCGCACACTCTCCCCAACGCCTACAACTTTTGCTCTGGCCTAGCCACGCATCCAAAACCCAATGCCCCAACCCCTATGCCGGCCCCATGCCCCAACTCCTTCAGTCCCATAATCCCCCAAAGCCCGTTGCTTCAATCCCCTCATCCCCTCCAAACAAAATTGAAAAAACTATCACGAAGTTATTCAGAAAAGGCAAACAAGACTAAAGGCGATCAAGAAGCTATTCAGAAAAGGCAAACAAGACTGAAGACGATCACGAAGTTATTCAGAAAAAGAAGAGAAAAGATTCTCTTGTTCTTCTTCAGGGTCCAAAGCGCGTTGCTTCAATCCCCTAATCCCCTCCAAACAAAGTTAAAAAAACTATCACGAAGTTACTCAGAAAAAGGAAGGGAAAAAGATCAGCTTGCTCTTCTTCAGGGCAGGGGGCCAGTGGGAGCTGCCGGCCCTCCATGGCCACCGACTCGGCCTCCTTGGCCTTGTACTTTAGGGGCGTAATAATAATAATAGAAATAATAATAGTAATAATGATAGTAATAATAGTAATACTAATAATAACAATACTAATAGGTATTGGGGCTTCGACAACAGTTCCGTCGAAGCTCAAAAAGGCTGTTCGTTCTCAGGGTTCTCTCGCAGTTTTATAGGAGTCCTATCAAGGCACTATTGCAGCAGAAAAGAAAAAGCCTAGCTTTTTGTCGGCTTTACAAGGGGCGTTACAAGGCTTGTAAAAGTTCTATAACGATTTGAAAGGGCTTTGTAAAAGTTTTTCCGTGGCTTTATGCCAAGGCTGCTAAGGTTTTCGTACATTTAGACGCTGTGAAACGTTGTTGTGGGCTTTCAGCCTGTCCTACAGGGTGCATGCAAGAGCCTGTTTACAAGTCAGGGCGTCGTATAGGGGCTTCAGGGGTTTTGAAGGTTTGGCGGCCCTGAAGGTTTGGGTTTCAAGGTTTTGGCGTGCTGGTTCAGGGCTCGTCACAAGCATCCTTATAACTAGTGATACCAGTTCCTTCTGCTCGGAAAGTCCCAAAAGCAGTACGAAGTAGGATTTTCGGGGATTAGAACCTGATTGAAGCGGTATGGGTTTCCAGGTTGATTTGTCGGACCTAGGGTTCAGGTTTGGGACGTACGATGCGAATCTCAGGGTCAGGTTTACGGCTTACTGCGTAATATAATAATAATAATAGAAATAATAATAGTAATAACAATAATAATACTAATAGAAATAATAATAGGTATTGGGGCTGAGGATCCGTTGGTTAGCCAGAAAGTAACATAGCAGTAATGGAACATTTAGTTCGTGAGTCGTCGGCAGACGTCTGTCCTCCTTATGTCCGGTCAAGGCTGTTGCAGTTCTGCTCTAGAAACTGTGATACTACTGCTGTCCGTTTAAAGCTTGACAACTTGGGATAGCATGCCTTGATCCTGAGCTTGGGAAACACTGACCGCTACTGAAACAGCCACCGCGCCAGCAAGAGCAACAAAAGGTCAACAACCACTCGTAGAAGAGCGCAGTACCACGTGCATGGCAACCAACGAATGCAAGAAAAAACCTCGGTGTGGAAGAGCCCTCGACCATCAGAAACGCAGCAACACAACCAGCATGGCCATACGCGAAAACAAGATGAACGATGACAACGACCCAAAACCCCACGCCGACCTCGATCTGATTCAGGATGTGGGCATGCAGCTGGGGCGCCTCGGCTCTCCAGGGATTTCCAACTGAGGTGGGTAAATGCACCTCTTGGGAGCCGTGATTGTCATGATGGCCGCGATGGGTTGAGAGCCGGATAGTCGAGTCGAAGTAGCCGTGATCACCTTCTGATGATGGCTAACAGCACATTGCTCCGACACGGCAGTCGATCAGCGCTGCTTCTTGTTGCAGCTCAAATGCCTCGAGGTACGGTGTAAACAAGAGCAATACTTGCAGCTCATTCTGGTGCAGGTGTTGGTAGGGCGTGGTGCGGATGGGGGTATCTTCTTGTTGTTGGCATAGTTGCAAAAGTAAGGCTTACGTTTCCGAAAGACACTTCTCTATGACAAGTACATGGCATTGCCCTAGTACACGGAAAGCCTTGAATCCAATCTCAAAACCATTATGACTTAAATCAAGGGTCTAGTAGTGAAATCGGGAGGGCTGTGCATACACCGCCCGGTACATGAAACTCTCCATGTGCCCGGCATTGTGCTTCAAGATACAGAGGTGGGCATAGACCACACTTCTCTCGCCTGGAGTTGAAGACTTCGGAAGCAAGAGCTCCGACAAAAGGTGCAGGATTTGGGGCTTCGGGCTTGTTATTCAGGCATACCGGCAAAAAAAATACACGACCCGTTCTTGCGAAAGCCCGTAATCGAAACCCCATGGCGGGACTACTTGAGGAAGCTCTGCCTGGCTGCCGAAGGGTTAGTAGTTATGCCCTCCAGTCTCCAGTCAGTGTGAGCATGCGATACAGAGACCACAAAGCCCGCTCAAACTTTGGCCGCGAACCTTTCGAGCCCGAAGCTGCCCCAGTAGCTTAGGATACGGGAAGATGCGACCTTTCCTGAGTTCGGCACCGGGCCCTGCCCGCTTCAGGAGCACAAGCCCTAAACCCTAAACCACAGAGAGAGCTGCAACAGGGCGTGCGCCTTCCTTGGAGTCTTAGGTTCAGGGTCCCGCCAGGCTTACGGCAGCCCCAGAACCCAAAGTTTGGTGTTATTTAAAACCTTGGATATCTCAAAACTAAAGTACGGGATTTGGGGTTGCAAAAATCGCTGAGCCTGCACAACGTCTCATCCCCAACCTCCACACCCCAAGCCCTAAATCTACAATCCTTTAAGCTACCTAACCCCGAAGCCCAGCCCTTCAGGGTGCTAGTTCGCGGCTCTAGGCTTAGGGCTAGGGCTTAGGCCTTGGGCTTCGGGTATTGGGTTTTGTCTTTTTGTTTACCACGTGTTTACGGTGTGCGGCTTGGTTGAAGGGCTTTGTGCCTTGGCAACATAAACAAACCTTACACTATCCAATTTCAGCGTAGGCCTGAACCCTCAAGCCGAATCATCAACGAGGCCGGAGGGGCTACTAACGAAGCAGACGTCTGCCAAAGTCTCGCCTCTCAAAAGCACAGATGTCTTTGGCTTTGCAGTAGCTTTTGGGCTAGGTTTTGCTTTAGACTTTAGGCAATAGGGTGAAGGGGTAGCTTGTAGGTTGCACAGATGGAAGTCCAGTACGATTTACACAAATCAGCACATAAACGATGACATGGGGGCCGTGACACAAGGAGTTGGTTTTTGAGGCGCATTGTCGCATCGTTACATTAGGGAAACCCAGGGAATGCGGCGCTAATTATGAAGGCCACTGCAGTAACCCGCTGGGTCCGGAAAACCGTTCCCTTCGAAGACCTGTGGAAGTTCTGCGAACCGCAGGATTTCTAGTTTCGCTCGGGGTTTGTAGGGCATCGACGCAGAACCGGAAGTTTAGCCGAACGTCTTCGGTCTGCTGATACGAGGGCACCCTTAGAACACTAAACCTGGCCCTTGTCCTCACCTCTTCTGGATACCGTACAAGCAAACTGTCCGAATCTTGTCATGGAGCTCCGTGGAAACAAGCACTCGCTAATCTATCCGTCCCGATTCCCGGACGACTCCTTCCACACTGCATTAGCCACAGACATCCTTCAAAGGAAGTTCTGGCATCCAGCGGTCCTTGAAAGTCTTACCGAGAATCCTGCAAACTCGGCATAGGCCAAGTGGCTATTTACAAGTGTGGACAGGCCGCTTGCCAGGGACCTTGGGTTCGAGCCATTCAAGCTTTGGAGCTTTAGATTCGAGGGGTGTGCCGGGTATTGAACTTCGCCTCCATTTTGTTGAAGGCATGTTTTAGAATTCGCCGTAGACACGGGAGTAGTGCCCCTCACGAGACCGTGCTGGACAACTCTTGAGCCGTGTAGCAGGAGGTCGACTATGTGCCGAGTTGTCGAATCAGAACGTCTGCGGGGCAGGGTGTGAAACGGGGCGTCTTTGCACGAACTGCGAAGTGGGGGTTGCTTTCTTCGCAGCCGGTCGGCCATTGGCTTCTGAAAGGCAAGTACTGAGCAAATCTAGTTCTTTTTGGCAATATTGCCCACAAACCGAAGTATGTTTGAGACCCAACCCTAACGCAGCGACTTTGGAGCGGGTTGCCTCGGCAACCAAGAGCGGCGAGTCCAACTTTACGACTCACCACGGCGCTGCAACGTTAAAGGGAACTCCAGAAAGTTGGAAGATGGTTTCAGGGTAGGATACCTTGTAATTTACCATAAAGGGTTTAGGATAATAATATTCCAACTTTCTGGCTTTTACTTTACTGCCATGGGCGCACGAGCAAGGTGCAACTCTCAGCTCTGGGCCTCAAATCACGGCCGACCCCTGAAGTCCTAAAGCCCGAAACTTCAGAAACCTGCAAGCCCGAAACCTGAACCCTAAAGCCCATACCCTCCCTTAACTACACATGAGAACCTGAAGCTGAGAAAACAAAACAGCTACGTCTTGAATGCAGAAGGAACATCCGAAGCAGTCTGACATGTCAGGGCTTGGGCCGATCCGGCTCTGTTATGGCAAGGTTGTGAACCTCAGAGACTTGCTGAATGGAGTACAGGGCTTCGGGGTTATGGTCTAGGACGCATAGACTTAATGTTTAGGGAACATTACCAAGGCGACTCCGTAGTAAGAGTCTGCATAACGACAAAGGAAGATGAGGATAACTAGAAAATGAAGCAACCACAGTTGTTGATCTGGCTTGCTCTAATCAACAACAGAGCTTTTCAGGGTTCAGGAAGTGGTTCAAACGGGCCACTAGCTGCAGATAATGTCGAGGGTTGGGGATATAGTAGCGCTTTTAAACAGTCCAGGGGTTCTTTAGTTACAGTGGTTTGTGATGATCGGAAAGGAAAGCAATAATAAGCTTCTCGATACATTCTCACAAACTGCTATGGGCCTTGGGTCGGAGTCGGACTGGGCATGTGGATGTTGGTCCTTGGCGCTTTTGGCCGGGTTCCTCCGGTTTTGAACATGGCAGCTGCAGGCTCCTACAAGGATTGCTGTGGGAAGAACCTTGCATGCTGTCTAGGAGCTTGTACGGTGCTGTGAGGTGGGACGGTGAAGCCCGCGAAACTTGCTAGAATAAAATCAAGCTTTGAAAAACCAGGATTGAAAAATTTAAGCTGTGACGGCAGGCATGTCATGGGACTTTGGTGTGGCATCTGCAACCTCAAAGGAACCACAGTAGCACTAGTACCATCTCACGGTGGGCCATCTCTGCCGTTTCTGAGCTGCGGGCCCCTCCACAGGCTACTCTCACCACTGCCTGATCAAATCGCGCTGTCGGCTGCACACCTAAACACAAAGCTCATACGGTAGGCAGATTGTTCGACCTTGCACACGCTGAACTCAACAGTCTTCGTTTGAATCTACAGCCTGGAAGCCACATATCTATCTATCGCTGTTCCTAGGCAGTTCGAACAAGAAGTGAGCCGTTTCGATAGCTGCCCAACAAGTTGGTTCAGGCTGAAACAGGCTGGAATCCAGGAAGTTATTCTACTGCTCTTGCGCTTCTGGAGCCTTACGATTAAATTTTGAAGGATGGAGGATAGAATGACAGAAGGTGATATGCTGTACAACCTACCCACGAACTTCGGAAGTACTAAGCAGTGCTTCGCACAACTGCCACGCATGTAGACCAGCTGTTTTTCCCTGCCAGGAGGCCACGACCCCGCTTGCAGCTGAACTAGACTCCTCGTTATGATCTTGCTTCTACCCAAACAACACTGATCTCATGTGCACTGTTCTTCTTATGATAACAAATGACTGCGCCGACTCTGCCTCTGCCGAAACCCTCAACCCAGCCTTGCCGCGGAAGCCAGCAGTGACAAGCGTTGGGGTGGGCCTGGGTCCAGGCGGGCGTGTCGCAGAACCCACGAGACCGTGTCGGATCCAGAGTACTCCGGGAAGTGTTCGTGATCACTTCCACCTACTCCCGCAGTTTCAAAACGAATAGGACTGTACGACCGAGTAGTTGTCGCGAACCGCAGCCTGGGTCCATTGGTAGTGTTGTGCGTGTGAGCTTCCTGCTTTCGAAGATTCCTGCTTCGCGGTCTCGCTGCTCAGGCTGGCGGCCTTTGATATCCTTTGATCCTGAGCCCTGTGAAAACCGTAGACCCCGACGCATACTTGTTCTGGCATGGGTACCGGTACTAGAACTACCGAAGTGTTCAGGGGAATGACATGCCCAAGACCTTGGGGCTCGTGTGTGTATCGGCGGTTGGAAGTTAGGGTGCCGAGTCTCCATGCCTCTCTGCACTGAACCCCGACAGCAAGATGAGTCCCTGCGAAAAGATACTTCTTCGGGATCCTGAGAGAGGCATACCCGGCAGATGTCGGGGTTCAGATCCTCAGATCCAGATCTCTTTCCCCGGCACACCTGAACATCCCAAAACCCTTCAACTTCAACTTCCAAACTCTGAGTGCTAGATCCCCAGGACATTAGCCCAGAACCCGAGCCACTAACGAACTCCAGAACCCTAAACCTCTGAACGCCTGAACCTTCAGCTGTGCCCGGCCGGTAGGGATAGCCGTCGCTGTCCACAGGCATGCCCTCGCAACCTCGATGCCGACAGCTTCAATCGGCCCGTAGAAACCTAGCATCCAAAACCGTTAAGAACCCTCATTCGGGTGCCCTGTGTTGCCGTGCAGCTACCGAGTTCTAGCCTGCCGGCCCATAAGGGTTCAGGAGTCTTTTGAGAACGGCAAAGCACGTCCGTGAATCGAAACCAAGATTCCCCCTAAATGTCTAAGCCCGGCAGAAGAAAGGGCATTGCGCATCCCCGCATCCGGGGAAGACACTTTTCACACTCCTGCGCAGGAACAAGACGGAGTCGCCGGCTCAGCAAGCGCCACAACTCACGGTAAAGAGGATGGACCCGGATGGGTAGCTTGAGGGCTTCGGCTTCCGGATCAGGCGAGTAGCTGTTTTCCCGTTGTATAGGGCTTCTGACAAGGTTTCGCAGGAGGGTTTCGAGTCTGCTTTCCAAGCCGTTAGAATTCTGCTCATTCGTGGAACAGTTCTCACGGCCCGAGCTTGAGGTTTAGGAGTGCAGGCAAATTACCCTTGATCCAACAGCCTGGTGTCCCAACCTGAAGGATAGGGATTTCGGGTGCAAAAGGCACATAACATCTTGGCACTGGCGGAGGCCCGGCCACCAGACCCAAATTGGGGGCATCTGCGATTTAGGCAGCCGTAGGGCAGCGCTTGCCACCGTGACTCCAAAATCAATGCGAGCAGTTGCGAAACGAGGATCCCTGTTCGGTATCGGAGGTGTTCAGGCTTTCTTCGTGTTGATATCCGAAAAGAGACCCTAGGCTGAGAAACTGCCCAATGTAGCAACGGGAGCGCATCATGCTTTGTCCAAGCCCAGCTTCATTTTGACAGCATAGTGCCAGTGTCAAAGCGCCCGCACCCGCGCAGTTGAAAATGTTGAAAACAGGAACACCAACGGTGGTAAAAGCCACGAGTCAGGCCTTCCCAGATGCTGGTATGTAGGTGTTGCGGAAGACTTTGCTGGACGAGTACGAGAGACCCGGGAGGTGTTCCTGGAAGCTCCTGTTCTCCACGCTTCAGCCCTGACATCTTGCGGCTTTGAGGCGAAGGGTTTAGCTAGTGCAACCCTCGCAAAAGGTCGGGTTCTTGCGGCGGTGATGATGCTGCTGATGATGATGATGATGATGGTGATGATGATGATGATGATGACAATGTTGCAGATGAAGGTGGTGATGTTTGCTGTTGTTCTCATTGTTGTTGTGCAGGCAGGCTGGGGGCTCTGTTTGGGCTCTCCAAACCCCAGACCAGCCCCTCTACTTCTCAGCGCCTCAGAGAGCCGGACCGAAACCCATGCAAAATTCCTGTTGTACCCATAAACACATGACGGTCGCTTTACAAAGAGAGCTCGTCTGAAAACCCAAAACCTGAAGCTCAAACACCAAACTCTGGACCCTAACCCTGAACTCTAAAAGTACTAGTGTGAACTTCAAAAGGTTAACCCTGATCCCAAGCTCCACATAAAACCGCGGAGTCCGGGGCTTTGCGCCGATTGCAAGTAGCATTGCAAGATGCTCAGAGCTTCGACTTGGCGGCCTTTGAGGGTTTTCGCGTGGGTGCTTCTTGAAATTAGTAAAGTAATACATTGAACATGGACAGAACCACTGGAAGGCCACACCAGAGCCACCTTTGGGGACCGCTCCAACACCCACCACAAAGAAGCCCCCGAGAGGCATGACAACCATGACGCCAACGACCATGGGGACCAGGACCACCACGACGATGACTCAGTAGATACTAGATACTGCAGCACGGCAAAAACGCCCTCGTCAAAGATTCACGAGGACTGGCTATTCTTTCCACCACAAACTGCCGCGGTTCAAGGTGCTAAGCCGAAAAGCGGCCCATGTAATGAGATTTACAATGAGTCTGGCTCTGTGCGAGACGGTTTCCAGCGAATCCTGTGCAAATAATGAGAAGCCCTCACAAAATTTGCACCGCACCAGCTGGAGCCGCGTGCCGAGGAACGTTGTTCGCGCGAACAGAAACCAAGTCTCTCTATGCTGAACGTTGGCCGCGTGTGCCACGCTGCTTGGGGACAAAGCCCGCAAACGTCGACGGCGCCGAGCCCGACAGGCCGAGTAGCCTAGCCCAACCCCCGACTTCACAGAAGCAGTGGGTATTCAGGTTCAAGGACAACTACCAGCACCCTGATGTCTGCACAGGGCCGTTTACTGTTTTGCATGACAATGCTTCCAGCTCAACGTCGTCGTGTGCTGTGATGTTAGCTGAGCGTTGCCGTCGCCCTGGCCGGGCTCAAAAGAAGCAGGTCTGGACTGGCACTGGCCGCCTTGAAAGCTTTCGAGTGACACCAACCAGGCAGACCAGAGGACACTCCTGCATTGCTGGCCCGGAAGAGCATTGACTTCTCGGCTTCCATAGCAGGGGTGACACGATCCCGCCCGAATCCACGACCTCTATAGTTTTCAGGAGGTAAACTGCGGAGTCTGCGAGATGAAAGGGAAGCGACCACACAGAACAATACAGGCCACATGCAAGCAGTCGAAGGTTGAATACGGCCTGCCATGCCTAACCATAGAATAGAGCAACATTAAGCGTGATAGTAACAATACGGCCAACGAGAACGATGGATAGTGCTCAGTGGGGCTCAGGGGGTTGGCTTCGGACGACCCGACGAGCCAGAAGGAATGGTTGAGCCGCGAGGCATCGTCTGCCGAAACGATGGTGAAGGACTTCTTGTTCAGGTCCTCCGCTCCCCCGGGCCCTGAGCCTGAGCTTTGAGCCTCAAACCATAAGTGAAGTTGAAGCCTTGATCTTGATGCGTAAGACACCCAGGGGAACGGGCTCATCCACTCCTGAAGCCTGCTGGGCCCTAGCATCCGAAGCGTGACCCCAACAAGCACCAACAAGGTGCAACTTGCGGATCTTAAGGTCTACGGCCTGTCCAGGGCTTCGGGTCCAGAGTCTATACAGTCTAGAGTTCAGGGTTTCAGGCTCTTTTGCCTGTCCTTGGCACGCTGTCGCAGGACCTGACACGAGCTGCCGGAGACATCGGGGCTTCGGGGTTGGACCTCAGGTTTCTTTTTCCCCTGGCTGCGTGGTGGATGCAAGGCCTGCAGAGTTTTGGGAGTCCAGGCTTCACTGTCTACCTTTCGAACGTGAGGTTTCGGGCGATATGCTGAGTGGTGGTATATAAGCATCAAAAGCATAAGCCCCGTACACCCAAACCCTGAACTTCGACACTGTAAACCCTCGAGCGACCCCCCCCACCCCCGCCCCGGTGGCCTTCACCAAAAACAACAATATGTCATGCTAATAGCAGCAATAGATGTACTTCTGCTTAGGTGAAGCAGCTACAGTAGCTGTACTACCAATCAGAATAACCTCTGTAGTGCTGGTATGGTATGGAATTATGGAATTAGCATCCGACCGTCATGCTGACGCTACTGGTTCTGGCGATGGTTATGGCTGCAACAAACAAAACAGCACCTGCAATCGACAGTGCAACTCCAGTAAGTCCATCAGCCATTAAGCCTATGTGCTGTCTCGGCAATGCCACGCATAGCTTGCATCTTTGCGGGCTGGGCCGATGCTGGATTCAACTACAAGTACAAGACCCCATGTGTCGCTGCCGCAGGATCACTGCGGAGATGTGGAGCTTTGGATCTAAAAGGGGGAACCACTACTCCAAAATCCAAAATCCTACGTATTGCAGGGGCTGCGGCATAGTTCCTGCATCCTTGATTCTACGATCGCAGATTTCGATTCATTGAGGGCCTACACTAGGCCTCCCCTCTCGGAAGTGTCACATCTACCCACGACCTCATGAACGCGAAACAATCTAAAACCCTAAATCCGTGAGACCCTCACTTAAATCCTTACACCCTATAGAACTTGCCCTTACACTCGAAACAGTGAACCCTGGCCCGCCTGCTTTTGGATCTTTCCAGTCGGTGTCCTCGGCCAAAGCCACCAATCCCAACCAAGCTGAAGTAGGAGGAAGCGAGACAGCAAATCCGATGAATACCCGTTCTTGTTCGGGAAGCCAACTCGATGCAGGAACTCCGGCAACGTGGCTATGTGACAAATGTAGAGCTGCGACTATACCCCTAACGCAAAAAGCACCGCAGGTGAACCCTGCAAACCCTGTAGTACAGGAGCCTGAACCATTAAAACACTCACAGTCCTACACCTCAACTGACCCCGCCAAGCCTCAAACTCGGAACTTCAACGTAAGCCGAGGCGCTTCACACCTTCGAGGCTCTCAAAGACGAAGGTTCGAGGCACCATGTAGCGAGCCACTCGGATGATGGATGGGCTTGCACGGGAAACTGAGAAAAGCATTCACTCGATTCGGAAAGAGATTTGGGCCCAACGCTGGCAACACCCCCGAATCTAATAAGGGCCCCCACCCCTCCAGCCCTAAGATCCTTCACCCTAAAAACCTATCCGGCGAGAGCAATTACCTTTAGCCGTTCGAGCTTTCCTGTAGCGTTGCTTGCTTGTGGGTTTTGCGATGCTCAAACTCTGGAGCAGCTCTAGGTTTGGGCTTTAAGCTTCCCGGCTTTGCGGCAAAGGGCATTAGGTTCTGGCGTTTATTGTTTGTATTAAGGCTTGAGAGCACAGTGTACTGGGATCTCGGGTCTAAGGGTACCGAGGTTTGGGGCTAAGGAGGCTTTGGCATCTTGACCTCGGGGCTGCAACCGCAATCCTCAGACCACCGTTTCACAGAACACTAAACCCCGTGGACCAGCAGTTTGCCGCTTCTCCAGAGCTTTGTTTTGCAAGGCCGTGTGGCTGTGGTCGCGACACCAGTTGTAGATCTCCTGTGTAGGATTGGTTGCCGCCAACTGACCCTGAAGCTCGTAGGGTCTGAGCTCACCAAAAAGAGTTGGCTGATACAGTCATTCCTGATTGGAGCATCTTCGGCACGGTGTCTGGAGGTTGATGTTAAGATCGCTGATATTGGGTGTCTGCACGGCTTCTGGATTTGAGGGATTTCGCAACTGGTGTTTAAGGAATGCGGCGCAACTGGGGCTTCGGTTTC